TTGCATTTTATGGAATTTTATAAAAGTAGTTGTAATATTTCTAAATAAGTTTTAAAGAAGTTGTATTCTATATAAATTCCTCGTAACGAGACCTAAGGTCGCTGGAAAAAACAACGACGTAATGTTTTACTTTTCAGATAGTGAATATATTAGAGAAAAAAAAAACATCCCCCCTCCCCTCGAACCACTTCTCTAAAAATTCAATTAATTATATAATTAAACACTGAATTTGAAAATATTTTTTGGGATTTTTTTAATATGTTCAAACGACTCCTTAAAATGATGATCTTGACAAATATATGCTCCGCTCTGCTTCCATAACTTGTACTATGTGTTTGCTATCTTGTCAAATACATTTCACCTACATTCATCTTTCTTTAATTGTATTTTCACTCCTTTTTACTTTTCCTTTCAGCTATCAATAAGCATTTGAGTTGAACGTTTAAATTTTAACTTATCTATGCAATTGGTAAACATTTAAATGTTATAAGCACACCAAAATCAACCAAATGTTTGACCATTCCCAAAATAAAATTTTATCTTAATCTCTTTTTATATTGATGACAAGATGCGGGAAGCGAGACTCAGATGGTTTGGGCATATTAAGGGGAGAAGCTCAGTGTCACGACCCTAAACCCAGACCCGATCGTGATGGCGCCTCTCGTGAAGACAAAGCCAGCCGACACAACACCCAATTATTTTTAATCAATTAAATTAATATGAATTAAGTCTTTAACATAATAATAATAATCCCAAAATAAACAGTGAAACAGTACAATTTGCGAAAATAGAACCAACACAACCCAATATCGGGGTGTCACCAGTCATGAGCATCTATCATAATACTGCAAGTCTGAACGAGTCTACACAAACTATTACATAACTAGGACAAGGGAAAGCAATGATGATAAGAGGGAGAGACACTGGGCTGCGAAACGCCGAGCAGCTACCTAGTGAACTCCGGAATCTGCTGGAAGCTCTCAACCATCGCAAGGAGGACCTGAAGCGCCTGAATTTGCACACGGAGTGCAGGGAGTAAAGTGAGTACTCCAACTCAGTGAGTAATAATAATTAATAAAGACTGAGCGATGAGAAATCACGCAAAGGCACATCAACAGGCTATAAAGAAGCAGTATAAAGCCAGTGGAGACAATGAAACAATGCAAACACGTAAAGTCACCTTAGTTCAGTTTAAGCTTCTTTAAAAATCTCTTTTTAATAATTAAGCAAGTAAATGACAGGCAACTAGAAAAGATAAACCCATAAAGAGCAGCCTCTCGGGCACAATACCAACATAATTAGCCCCTCGGACAATACATGGAACAACACTAGCCCCTCGGGCTATATCTCATTTCACAATGGGTACCCGCGCTCACTGGGGATGTGCAGACTCCGGGAGGGGCCCCTTACGGCCCAAGCGCAATATCAAGTCATCTCATGGCATAATTAGTAGGCTCTCGGCCTCATATCAACAAGCCACCTTGTGGCATACAATCTCAGGCCCTCGGCCTTACTCAGTCAGAATCTCATAAGCCACTCGGACAACAGTAAAAACATGATGCTCAACTCAAATTATCATTTAGAATATCATTTAATGTGTTAAAATAGAGTAAACATCGCTGAGTTATGAAAACAGTATAATATAGCATGACTGGGTACAAATATAAAGTCAAAACAGTGAGGAAATATTAGTAAAAGTCCCCTAAAGATCCAAATAGTTGACACGAGTCCCAAATATGGCATTCAACCCAAAACATGATGATAGCAAATAGTTTTCAATCAAATACGCAGTAAAACAGTCATTTGGGATAGACTAAGTCACAATCTCCAACGATGCATGACCCCACGCTCGTCATCTAGCGTGTGTGTCACCTCAATATAGCACCACGGTGTGCAATCCGGGGTTTTATACCCTTAGGACAATATTTAAAATCATTAATCACCTCTATCTAGTCCAACTCTAGCCTGCGACGCCTTTGCCCCTCAAATCGGTCTCCACTCGTGTCGAATCTATCCAAAATCAGAATCACGATGTCAAAATATGCTAAGAGAACGAAGCTTATGCGAAAATAATCAAGTTATAGCATAAATCCCAAAATTAACCAAAACCCGACCCCCGGGCCCACATCTTGGAATTCGATAAAATTTACATCAATAGATTCCTTATCTCCCCACGAGTTCATACATATCAAAAGTCCCAAAATCCGACCACAAATGACCCCTCAAATCCTCAAGTCAAGGTCTCCAATACCAAACCCTAGTTTCCTAATTGTTAACCCTAAATTTCCATTAATTACTGCTCTAATCCATGAAATAATACCATAGGATCGATTATTAGACTCAAAAATCTTACCTCCAGACGATATCCCTTGACTCCCTCTTCAAAATCTCCCAAAAAGCTCCAAAACCGACTTGAAATGGTGAAGAACAACTCAAAAATCACGAAAGAATGCTTTTGTACCTTCTGGCCCAGGCTTTTCGCACCTGTGGTCCAGATCTCGCTTCTGCGGTCCCAAGCACCGCAGCTGCGGTCCTCATTTAAGTGGCCAAAATCCGCATCTGCGATGCATAATCCACACATGCGCCATCGCAGGTGCGGTCCCTCATCCGCATCTGCGGTTTCTGCCTTCCTAAGTTCTTTCCGCTTCTGCGAGACCGCACCTACGGTCCCCTAGCTGCAGGTGCGGTTATGATAGCAATGGAACATCTTTAGCTGCCAAAACCAACTTCCAAACTTTCTGCCAACTACCCGAAATCACCCCGAGGCCCCCGGGACCTCAACCAAAAGCACAAACACATCATATACCACCATCCAAACTTATACCAATCTTCAAACACACCTCAAACAACATCGAATCAACCAAAACACATCGAATTCAAGCCCAAGTTTCCAAAATCTTCCGAATTACGCTTTTGATCAAAAAGTATACCAAACCACGTCCGAATGACACAACGGACCTACTGTAACTCCCGAAATTTCATTCCGACCTCTATATCAAAATCTCACATATCAACCGGAAAACGCCAAAATACCAACTTCGCCAATTTAAGCCTAAATCTACTACGGACCTCCAAAACACATTCCGATCACGCTCCTAATTTCCAAATCACCTCCCGAAGCTATCCGAACCACCAGAACTCACATCCGAGCCCTTTAACATATAAGTCAACATCCGGTTGACTTTTCCAACTTAAGTTTCCTCAAAAGAGACTAAGTGTCTCAAACCTTACCAAAACTTTTTCGAACCTAAGCCAACCAACCCCGATCATATATAGAACCAATAAACAAAGCAATAAGAAACAGAAATGGGGGAAATGGAGCGGTAACTCATGAGACGACTGGTCGAGTCGTCACACCCAGATGCTCCGGTAAGGAGATGTGAGCGGCTGGTTCTGGAGAGCATGAGAAGAGGTAGAGGGCGGCCTATGAAGTATTGGGGAGAGGTGATCAGGAAGGATATGGCGAGGCTTCAGATTTTCGAGTACATGACACTTGATAGGAAGATGTGGAGGTCGAGTATTAGAGTTCTAGGTTAGGAGGTAGGTGATTTTTGCCTTACTTCGTATCTTTGGAAGACTAGGCTGGTAGGATTTTTGTCTAAGACAGATAGTGACAACGTTGTGTCTTACTATTTCACTTTTCAGTGTAGAACCTATTTAGTAGCTATCGTTTTTGCTTTGCTTTGCTTTGCATCTTTCTTCTGGATTTTATGTTGTTCCTATTTTTCCTATGATTTCTATGGTGATACTAATATTATTTTTTTTTTGTCTTTTTTGTTTTCTTGAGCCGGGGGTCTTTCAGAAACAGCCTCTCTACCCTTCGAGGTAGAGGTAAGGTCTGCGTACACACTACCCTCCCCAGACCCCACTAGTGAGATTTTACTGGGTTGTTGTTGTTGTTGTCTTTCTATATTCATTATTTCTTCTTTTCTTGACAAAGATACTTTTTAAGTTTATAAAAAATTTAAGGGTATTTTATTTTGGCAAAATACATAGTTTACCCAACAACCTTATAGCGAAATCCCTGTTACATACTTCTCTTTCTCGGAAAACCTTTGACACACTCAACCGTTCAAAAGTATGTCTAAGGCGCACCACTTTTGTGCTTGACCAATTTTTTCAGATAATGTGAAAGTCACGCCCTAATAGGGTCGTGACACGTGTCATTAACTTTAAAAAGGAAAAAAATATTAGAAATTAAATTAAAACCCATCTTCTTCACCTTTCCATTTTTTATCTTAAGCACCATGGTTGTTTGTGAGAAAGTTTCTAACAACACCAAAATTCAACCATACTATCTAAACAACTAGCCGAAAATAATCGAGCAACAAATTGAGTTTAATAACACAATAATCAACAAGACCCAATTGAATTTTCATTACTGCAACAATGGTAGATTCTAGACTTTTTCACCAAACTTTCGATACTACTGTTAAAGCTTTTAAATCTATCACAAATGAATAGTTTCCAATATTTGGACAAATAAACCAACAAAATTCGCTCAATTTTAGATTTAAAATTGATATGTTCTTTCAAAAATTCTATTTGGGGAAGAAAATGAGGGGGAGGGTGGTGAGGAAGAAGACCAGAGGGAGGGGTTCTTGGGGGAGGTGAGACAAAAAATGTTTTTTTACGGGTTTCACGTGTTTTTTTGTGGGTAAACACCCAAGTGCTATCTGGTCAAAAGTAGTATGTTTTAGACACACTTTTAAAAAATTAAGTGTATAAGATATTTCCTGTGAAAGAAAAATGTGTAATAGGGATTTCGCTATAAGATTAACGAGTAAACTATGTATTTTGACTTATTTTAACAAAAGAATAACTTGTAAGTACTACTGTTTATATGAATTTTAACATTCATCTCCAAACACGTAACCAGTGGAGGTTATTTTAGTCTTTCAAATAAAAAGAGTTGAGATTATGGAGGTTATTTTCGTCTTTTCACATAGAAAGAAAGTTTAGATTAGCGAATATCAGAAAACAAAAAACCACGCGCGGCCCTTTCTTTCCTGTTCTTGTTGGTCTGTTCCATGGAAAGTAATTACAGTGATGATTTCGAGAAATACACACTCACTCTGCTTCCATAACTTGTACCATATGCTACCTTTGTAGTACATTTCTGCTACATTCTTCTTTCTTTAATTGAATTTTTCCTTTCAGCTATCAGTAAGCATTTGAGCTGAATACGAAATCATCAGTTTCCCATATGTCTAAGGTTTATCGCGTTAAAGGTCAGTACTTTCTGAAATACCATTACTTTATACTGCTAAAGGGTCTATCTCTCTCTTCTTCTTTTTTTTAATTTTTATTTTATTTTATTTTATAAATTTCAAGATTCTCATTTCTGATATTTCTCCTAGGTTGTTTGATAGAATTGAAGAGGAGTTAGTTGTTTATTTCAATTACCAGTAATATTGTGCACATTAATTTTTAACCCTAATAAGAAAGTTTATTACTAGTATCCAAGGGTATGGTTTAGTGGTTAATGAATGGATACAAACCTTGGAGAACGGGTTCGAGTCCGTACCTAAGGTTTGATGAACATACTTACCTAGTACCTGTGCTGGTGGGAGTTAATAGGTATTCAGTAGAACAGTTGGAGTGCTCGCAAGCTGGCCTTGACACCATAGTAGAACAAAAGAAGAGAAAAAGCTCAAGCTGGTCTAGACACTACTGTTAATTAAAAAAAGGAAAAGAAGATTATTACTACTTGTAAATTGTTCATAAATAAAGTAAATGTTGAAAAATATCTGATGAAACTACATATGATCCTGTTGGAGGTGAAAAAGCTTCTTTGGTTTAAGGCATGCCGCATGCAATATGTTTTTGGGGTGCGTAAAATCTTTGAAAAATTGCAACTTCTTAGTTGGGAAGGTGGTAAAGCGGCAAGATGCTTCTTTAACAGTTACACAACGTGTTAGTAGGAGAGCTTTGGAGTTGTTCATAGATCAAGTGACATTGAGAAAGAGTTGATGGAAGTACACATAATGTTCTTGAAAGTGCAAAAGTTTTGGCTAAATGGGTGCAATGTGTTTATGCTGGGTTATAAAAAACTTGCAACTTGTTAGAGATAAAGGTTGTAAGGTGGAATGCCAATTTGTTGAGGTGGTTGCACAGCACGTTAATAGGAGCATGCACAGCCTTGAAACTTCGGAATTTCTAAAGTCAGAAATTTCTACTTCTGTCTTAGCTTATTGTGCACAATTACTAATTTTACTTCCTTTTTTGGTTAATACATAATTTATGTAATGAAGACTGTTATACAGCACACACTAGGTGAATGAGGCATAAATTCTCCTGCTTATAACAAGTGATATGGTTTTCGCCTTGGGAATGCTTGATTGGTTGCAACGGAGACAAAGAGGAAAGAAACTAATCTCAATCTGTATGCAGTGATAATAAATATATCCGACAGCTTTTTCTGATCTATTTACCATGAGTATTATCACCAAAAAACCATTTGCTTCCTTTTAGGTACTAATTCTCTTTATAAATACAATTATGAATTCTGACTTAGATGATAGTTATCTTAGAGAAGTCAAAGGATATGATTTTCACAGTAGAAAATGCTTTAAGGGAAGGTAACCATTACTTTGTAACTTTATATTTTCTAGGCTGGTTGTATCCTTGCAAGTTGCATCTTAGAAACATACTTTGGGTCCAAGTAGTATATGATAACTCAACTGTGATATGTAATGGTTCTTGCAGTAGGAAAGTCTCTATTGTTGAATTATCATCTGTTTTACTATTGGCTGAATCATCATTTGATTAAACTGCGATGACAGTTCTTCGTAAGAGAGTCGAGAGGGCTGAGCGGAAGCGAATGCAAAACTATAAAGTGCACCCGGAGCGACTATCTGCACTTGAAGAATTGCTTAATGAGATTTATACAATTTGCCGCCCTAAACCAAGTGATTATGAAGTTAGGAGAAATTTGGTTTCTGTCTTCAATGAGATAGCAAAGGATATCTACGGTAACCTCTGCAACCTTTTATAGTGTAACTCAGCAAATGGATCCTGTGCACTGGCTTGTAGTAGCTTTGTTAATAGACTTAATCAACTACACAAATTTGAGTGAGTAGGCTATTTATTGGATTATATTTTTACATATTACAGCATGATGTGACAGTTCTTTTTTTCAGGGCGTTCTGGTAATATTCCTGTTGTGGAGGAGTTTGGATCTTTCGTGATGGATCTATTCCATTCAAAGAGTGATCTAGATATATCTGTGAATTTTGACAACAGTTCAGTTAAGATTTCGCATGAGAAGAAGATTCAAACTCTCAGGAAATTTGCAAGGAAGTTGTATGCACTTCAAAGTAAATCTTTGATTTAATTCCTTCTTTTTCCTTGATACTGTCTGCAGTTCATGGGTCACTGTCTTTGTGTCTAACATTTTACTTTGAAGAGTAGGACTAATTCTAGAAGAAAAGTAGATTAACTGCTCTGATTAACTGCTCTGATTGTTTTCTAGGTAAATAATTATGCCGCCACTTCCAAGAAATGGCTATTTCCATTAGTAGAACCATTTAAATAAAGCTTTTCATCTATGGCTTTCTGTGCTTCAGGAGATGGGCATGTTTCTGGCGTTCATCCAATAACAGCTGCCAAGGTGCCCATTCTGAAAGTTGTTGATTGTGGAACGAAAATTGAGTGCGATATATCAGTTGAAAACAGGGATGGAGTTTCAAAGTCTAAGATAATCCACATGATTTGTTCACTCGATGAAAGGTTTCAGAAGCTGAGTTTTTTGGTAAAATTCTGCTCTCTTGTATGCTATGCAATATGCACAGTTGTTCATGAAACGAAGTTAAAGTTTAGTTCTGCTTGTGCAATAGTTTGGAAGATCTCTTATGTGATTCGCGGATGCACAGTAGCAGTACCATAGGGCTCACTAGTTCTTGACACAGTTGCCTGTGTGCTACCCAATCAGAAAGTCATCAAGTTGGTGAGAAGGCCTGTGCTAGTAATGCTGTATGGTGGGCCGGGCTGGGACCGGGACCGGACCGGGCCCGCGGTCCTAACGGGCTAAAAGGACCTGGCGGGCCGGGTCACATAAAATAGCCCACGATAATGCTGTATTCTGGGCCGGGCCCGGGCCTAAATGGGCCAAACGAGCCGGGCTTAACGGGCCTGGGCTTAGCGGGCCTGAGCTCTGGCGGTCCCGGGCCTCACGGTCCCGAGCTTCGTGGGCTCAACGGGTGGAACCAGCCCGTGACGGGCCTAAGCCCATATGGTCCTGGGCT